AGTGAAAATTAAATTTGTGATGTAAAAATGACCTTTCCCATGACTCACATCGCAATATCTGTCAATATAATCGCTATATAATGTTTTATATTGTGCAGCCCCATACAGAAGCACACGAGTAACAAAATTACTTTAATTGCCCTTTTCAATAACAGCTTACTGTCAGCTGTGGAACATTTCACAACCTCACCCAAAGTGAATGAGAAACAAAGAGAAAGAAAGTAGTGGGGTGAAGTAAAAGACACTGAACAGGATATATATGACACACAGTGTCCATATTACAGGGTTTATAATGATGTCATAACAGCCTGCTACCCAAAGTGAAACATTTTAAATTTTATTTTTAATGAATTCTGAAAATGGTGAGTAAAATATAGCGGGAATCATGGTCATAACTATGAAAAAGACCAAGTTGGTAATTTTTTCTCCCCTCTCTAACGATGTTGCTTCTCTTGTAGGATGACATTATCATAATGACACTTTTCATTCAGCCACTCACACGTCTAAAAATAGTACCCACCACATAATGCTCATTACTAACACTGATGTACAGAAAACAAAGCGCTATCATGATATAGCTTTATATGATCAAAACCATTATTCTAATCAACTCAAAGAAAAACAATCTCAGAGTAAACACACGGCAATAACATAAGGCAATAACTCACTTTCCCAGGGTTCCCTTGCCTTTGGGCTGTGCTTTCATCCACTTCCACAGAGGGTGAGCGTTGTCTCCATTCACCTCAATCTTACTGAAAAGGTCAAACTCTGCATTGTAACCTTTGGCAAACTCCTTAATCTCTGCATCAGTACCTGGCTCCTGGATCATACACAAAAAAATCCAAGTTAAAACATTTGGAAATATACGTTTTGTAACTGAGTTAATAAAGCTTTGCATGGTATGAATAAATGTATTCAGTCATGCATCTAAAATATGCAAGAATCTGGCTCACGTGCTGGTTTGAATTGAAGGTGCATAAATGAATAATTATTTAAATGACTTCGATCCTGCCAAATTGCTTTATTCAAAAAGAACAATGAGCTGTAGGAAAGGTTTAAGATGAACAGCCAGTAGTTTAACAGTTCATGGATCGTGTTCAGGGCTCAAAATTGATCAGTGTCCCAAATTCTATTTTCAACTGTCCCAGACTTAACAACCACTGACCCAAACTGAACATATTGAATATAGTTGAACCACTTTGTTTCAGTAACTGGCATCACTTTACTGGCTCACTCTGGTCCGCCACAGAAGTTCTGCTAGTTGTTCCCTGCACTAATATCTGAATTAAAAATGTAAGACCACCCTATTAGCCGTAATCAGTTTATTTATTCATTGACTTACTGTTTCATGGTTATTTCTAACTGTTAAATGCATCACTGCAAACTGCAGCACAAAGGCACACACACACTTATACATTATTATTATTAAGCAGCCAAATAATCACAGACATTGAGCAGATCAAACAAACTATTCAAATATTTACAAGCGTATACAAACTATTGACATATAAGCTATAGGAACAACCTAACCCAGATATCTGGAGGGAAAGAAGGTCAAACAACTATTTATATATTTACAAGCTAATACAAACTATTGACATATAAGCTTTAGGAACAACCTTATCCAGAGATCCGGAGAGAAAGAGCAGTAGAGAAGCACAAACGTGCTTAATAACTTTATTTGTATTGACAAACTTCTCTGCTGTCTCAGAATTGTTCCAGACGATGTATCTTTGTACCCGGGACAACGGGCAGTCCTTGATTACACGTGCTGCACGTGCTGTGTGACAAAATAACGAAAATGAAAACTATTATTCTTATTACCTGTCCTCCAAACTGGTTGCAGGGGAAGCCCAGGATGCGTAAACCTTTCTCAGCATAGGAGGCGTGCATTCCCGCTAGCTGAGTGTAGTTTACCCTGGTCTTTCCTCATTTAGAGGCTACATTTACAATGATGCACACAAACCCTCTGGCAGGGAAAAACAGAACAAACAAGAGGTTAAACTGTGAGAACATCCGCAAACTACGGCTTATTTGTGAAGTCTAAACATGACTTACAACTGTACGAAACATCCCACCCTATAGTACTCATGATACATTATAAATAAATATTACCTGTATTGCTCAAGAGACACCTCAGTGCCATCAATATCCTTGGCAGAGAACTCGTATATTGATTTGGCACTCTGCCAGTCTCCCACCTGAGCACACTGCATGGAGGTGAAGAAGAGGAGGAGAGGATTGATTGCATGTAAAGTTAGATGAGTGTGTGTGATTGAGTAAGACAGCTTAAGGTTTGTCAGGGCTAAAGTCCATGAAAGCAAAGGAAAGGGCAAAAGTGAGCTGAGGCCACAAGACACAAACAAGATGAATCAGATAAATGGAAAGGCTGGCAACGAAGTTAGTCAGTGCTCTTAACGCTCAGTGCACCTTGTCCCATTTGTGTCATCATTCATGTCCGCACCCTGTACACTCATTAGGGTCAGGCGAACCTCATAACTAGTCACCGGCATACATTTCACCATACTTTAGTAGGAAACACAGTACAATAAAAGATCTGATTAACTTCACGTAAACCGTTACAATTTTCATTTTAAGGATGACACATGAACCGCGGAGCCTCTCCTGATTTTATGTTACTATATCAACATCGCCTGGTTGGCAGATTACCACCACGGATTAACATTAACGGTATCTTTATCCCTTCACGGTAACGTTATATCGAAGCTAACGTTGTAGCACAGCGAGCT